ATGTATTAATCATTTCGGTCTAGCAAATGTAATTATTTTTCAACAATCACATAAACACCTAATTACCACATCTATTGACGTCTAATAAATGAAGCAATCTTCAACATGATGATTAATACACTATTATTTTGATAATCAATGCATAATAAAATTCTAACAACATATAATCGACATTAATGAAGCATTAAGTTAAGTTATTTGATAAATTCCAACAAAAAAGGCTTAGTTCATCTTCATATACATGATAACAAGGGGATTCATATTCCAATACATTACAACAATGGAAAATAATGAAAGAACAACAAAGTTAAAGATACAACCCTTTCGAAACCAAGTTTGGTTATTTCTTCATTGATTTCTCCACTTTCTTTTGATTGAATCTCCCTTGTTATTCACTTTGAATTCACCAAATGAACCAAGAACTAAATAAACAAGAAAACAAAATAAAAGGGAAAGAAAAAGTGTAAAAATCGTGCAAGAAGGAAGAGGGGGAGAGTGAGTTGTGAGAAGAGAGGTGTTTTAAGTGTATTTATAGAAAAAGTAGGAAAATAAAATATCTAAAAATAAAATAAGCAATTATAATCAAAGTCTAACACTTAACTATTAAGCAAACTCATATAATAGGCTAAAACATAAGAAAATATAAAAGAAATCAAAAAGGAAATCGAGATGAAAATGTTAAGCCGCTATTGAAAATTCCTTCCTTGCGATCGCAAGGACAGAAAATTTCAAGGCCAGCATTCCCTGCAGCCTCCTGGGCGGTCGCATGGGTCTAAGTCATGCAATCGCAAGGCTTCATCTTTCAGAAGTTGCAGCTCAGTCCCTCATATTTGCACCCCAGGTCCCTCAACTTCAGCTCTTATACAATTTAGTCCTCATAATTTCACTTTCATTTCAATTTGGTCCTTTCTAAATTGCACTTCAAGTCCTTCATCTTTGTGGCTTGTGTAACTTGGTCTCTAACTTCACCAATTTGTACACTTTTAGTCCATTTCTTCATCTTTT